GATTTAGTAACTTAAATAAGTTATAAAAATTATTCTATTAATGTTATTAATTTAATTTCATAAATTCTTAATAACTTTCAATATAATTAGAATACTACAAAAAACAGATATTTAATTATTGTATTTTTAGAATCATTCAATTATTATGTAGTAGGTTAAGTAATATTATCACCTTTTTTAATTTTCAACAAGAAATAAAGCGTAATGAAAATTCAGGACAATAAAATGCGTACATTTAAATAATCTTAATAAAAAAAAATTTACTATATAATTTTTATTATTATTTAATTATTTTTTTCTTTTTTTGCATATATATTTTTTAATTCATCTTTGAGAAATCATTTTTTTCTGGGAAAATAATGAAATAATATATGAGATATAATATTAAATTTTGAGTAAATATTTAATTGACAAAAAAAGATATAAACATAGTAATAAATATTTTTTTATGTATTAAAAGGTGTTAAATAATTATTTAACATAATATTAATTCAAATATTTTAAATTTGAAATAAATTATTTATTTATATTATTGGTTAATAAAAGGCTTCATTAACCATTTTTGCTATAAAAAGGACTAGCTATGTGGAGAATACGTAGTTGGTTGTGGTAACTAAAAAAAAAAATAAAAAATAAAAAAAAGATTTATTATATTTTTTTTTTTGGAAAGAATTTTTATGGAGAGAGAGATTTTTTTTTTACAAAAGATAATAATGTTTTTATAAAAGAGTTTAATTTGCATAATATTTATATTTTGAATTTGTGAGAGAATATTTTATACATATTACAACAAAGTTTTCATGTAATTAATATTCATATAATTTATTTGCATTTTTACTAATTGTTTATGTTTGTTAATTCAGCAGCAATATATATTAATTGCTGAACGAAACTCATAACAAGAAACAAGTAATTTACATTTAATTAATAATCAATGTTCAATAAGGATTTAAATTTTTAATAAAAATAGGGATTTTTATTAAAGTAAATAAATTCCTATTAAAAATAAATGATACTCAACGAAATAGACTATGTAAATACAGTTTACTTGTTTTGAAGCATTTAAAATTATGCATAAATTCATTAAATTAGTTGAGGTAACTCTACATGCTTTTTATTAATATTTTTGTTTAATATTCTAAGAAAGTCACTGAACAGCCAGATAATAAATCGACATTACATATTGACACTGTTTATTATTTTACTTTTCTAGAAATTTTAACTAAAAAGTAAAATCAAAATCTGAATTAACAGTTTCTTATATTATACAAAATATATATATTTAATATATATAATATATATAATATATGAAAAATATAAACCATCTTAAATTTATATAAAAAAATATGAATAAAATAAAAGTGAAACCTTAAAAATATAAAGATGTGTCAAAAAAAAAAAAAAATTAACTTTTATTATAAAATAAAATTCTATAAATATTTAAGTATAAAAATTATAATCTCTGCAAAGCGGTTCCTTTATACATTTAAATATATATATATATAAGATTCATTTATATGTTTAATTATGTATTTAAAATAAAAAAAAATCATCCTATTAGTCAAATGTTTTAATCCTATTTAATAAATTGAAAGGTAATCATAAATCTTTCAATATATTTTTTTTTTTTTTATGTTTATACATTCCTATCCTCGATAAAGAACCTGCAAGTACTAATCACGTAACTAAAGATGAAATCCATATAATCTTTTTTTTTTTTATTTATATTGTAAACTTTTTCTGTAACATTTTGTAATTCTCCTGTGGAAGAACCATAAAATACATTCCTATTATATAAATACTGCATTAATAAACTTATAACTAAAAATAAGCTTAAAAAGAGTAATATTTTTGTTATTTTCATTCTTAATAAAAATTAAATAAATATGTAACTTTGCTATTTTTAAGGATTATTTTTTTTAAAATTACAAATATACCTATACATATATGGTTAATAAAAAGCTTCATTAACCTTTTTGGCTATAAAAGGACTAGTTATGTGGAGAATACATAGTTAGTTGTGCTAACTAAAAAAAAAAAAAAAAAAAAAAAATTATTGGAATTTTTTTTGAGAAATGTTTCTTTCGAAAAAGATAAAGATAAAAAAAAAAAATAATAAAAAAAAGATTTAATTTTTTTTTTTTTTTGAAGAGAGAGAAGAAAAATCAGAGAGAGAGAATTTTTTTTAAAAAAGATAATGATATTTTTGTAAAGCGTTTAATTTACATAATATTTATATTTTGAATTTGTGAGAGAAAATTTTATACATATGAAGATAAAATTTTCATGTAATTAATATGAATATAATTTATTTGCATTTTTAATAAGTATTTGTGTTTTGGTAATTCGATAGCAATATAAAATGATTGCTGAATATAACTCATAATAAATAAACTAATTATTATAATCAATTAATAGTTAATGTTAAATAAGTGTTTAAATTTTTAATAAAAATAAGGATTTATTTATTAAAGTAAATAAATACTTATTGAAATGAAAGAATGCTGAACGAAGTAATTTATGATTAAAGATCATTCGTTCAAAGCATATAAAAATATACATAAGTATAAGAAAATCGTAGAGTCATCTCTACATGCTCTTTATTAATTGGTTTGTTAAGTACTCTCGCAAAGTCTCCGAACACCCAGTTATTAAATCAATAATAGAACTATAGAGATATACGAAACTAAATTATGTAATTTAGTAGAAACCACTGAAAAGAATAATAAAAAGCAATAACTTATACATGAATTAAAATCTGAAAACTATTCTGATTATTATAAAAAAATATTAGAATAATATTAGTTAAATGATAATTAAAACTATAAAATAGATAAAAGTATACAAAAAAGGCTAGAGATTATACAACAAGATAAAGAAAACAAAATTAAATAATGTAATAATTTTTTCAAAAATTGGTGTTCTATAAATAATATCATTGACTTATTTTCAATAACATTTAAATAAATAAAATAAGTAAAAATATTATAATTTGTGCATAACAAAATGAGGAGAATGTGCGAACGCACAAATGCGTATACTAAAAAAATAAGAGCACAAAAAGTATGCGCTAAAAAAAAAAAAAGTATTCAAACTAAAAATAAGTTTATAAGAAAAAAAATGTAGATTTATTTTATAATATCTTTTTTTTTTCGTATATAACACTAGCTTAAAAAAAAATATAATATAATAATTTTATTTTTTTTTAAAAAAAAAATTATTTTTTTTTTTTTAATTTGAATGATGATAATATGTATTATTATTTTTTTTTAAGGAATATTAAAAATTCAATGTTAAATATGATAAACATAGAGTATTTCATATATTAACTAGAATAGTAATTAGATGATGTAATTAATATTAATTTTTAATTAAAAAAATTAAATAATTTCTTCATTATTTCTATTTTAATAAAAACAAAATAAGTTCTTTTTACATACTATTTATTAATTTTTTTTGCTCAATACTAGCAAAGTTATTGAGTGGGTAATCGATAGATCAGTGATATAAAAAAAAATTTTAAAAAAAATAATATTTTTTTTTTGTTGTTATGAAGCATAATTTTTTATTGTGTAAATGATTAAAAATAGAATTTTAAATATTACATTTTATAGTATATTATGTAAATTAACTTAAATAATAATTAATTATTGTGATTCATATTTGACGTTAATAAGCAAAATTAAATAATTTGTGTAATATTTTTGTTTATTATAAAAAGAATAAGTATATTTTTCTCTCCATATATTTCATTAATTTGTTTGTTCAATATTAGCAATGTGATCATTAAATGACTTCATAGATTTTTTTAATAACTTATAGAATAATTGAAGTTCACTTTAGAATATTGCTGATACATGTATGATAATTAAAGGCATCTATGGATATATGTATGAAAACACTTATAATAATTTATATATACATAATAAGAAAAACAAAATGCTTTCTTATTAAATACATGCCTTCTTAAATGTAGTAGAAGAATGTTCGAATAAAATGAATGATACTAGCAATAAATTAAGAAAAAAATATTACGTAAGCATTTTTATTTTTAAAAAAAAAATAATTCTTTTTTTAATTTATTTTTTGAGAGATGAGTAAATTCATTAATTTTTAGTAGTTTTATATGAAAACCTAATATGAAGAATGTTAAAAATTATGAACATTACAATAAATATTTTAAATTTATTACAAATTGATTTTTATATAATAGCTATATTATTATCTTTATAAATTATTTTTTTAATGAAAAGAATAAATAGAGATCGTTTTAGAAGTTCTTTTTTAATTTGACTAATCAAGACTCTATAAAAGTCTTTGAATGGACAATTAATAAGTCACAATATCATTGAAATAGGAATTAAGAAGTCATTACACTAAAAAAAAATAAATATATTTCATTTATTTTTTTTTTTTTTTGTGTGTACTTACAATTATAAAAAAAAATATATATTTTTTTTTTCGTTTTTATGACTATGACAGCTTCAGAAATTTTAATAAAAAAGAAAAAATACTCATAATTTTATTTTTTTTTTTTTGTATAAAAGATTAAAAAATGTAATATTAAATATTGTATTTATATTGTATTTTATAAATTAACTTAAATAATAAATAATAGAGTTAAAATTTATTATTAACAGAAATAAATGACTTATGTAATAATTTATTTTTTTCTAAATAAAATAAATGTAGATACATCTACATGCTTTTCACTAATTTTTTTATCCAATACTAGAAAGTTATTAAACAAGATATTAATAAATCAATTATTCTAGCAAAATCATTGAAAGGGAAATTAATAAATAAATAACTAAAAATATAGCAATATTTAAATTTATTTATTAATGAATATTCAAAAAGATCAATAGTTATATTTATTGATTATTTCTAGAATTTTTTGTATTTACATATTTTTTGCAACTTGTTCATATTTTTTTTATACTCTGTATATTTTACTTTTTTTTATTCTCTATGTTAATTTTTTTATTAAAAAATAGTGTTTAAAACAATTCTTTATTTTCTTTTTCTATCCACTTTTTATTAATATCTTCCCAGTGTTTTTTCCATATAAATTTTTGACTTACTAACATAGAATTTTTAATTTTACCCTCATTCTTTTTTGCTAATATTTCTTCACTTATTTCCTTCATATATTTTTTTTCTTTATTTTTCATTTCTAACATTAATTCTACAAACCATTTTTCTTTTCTCCATTTTTTTATATCTTCTTCTTTTTTCTCTAATATGGAATTAAAGCTTCTTTCTTTTCCTATTTTTTCTAATATATTTGCTTCTTTATCTAAATTTTCTTGTATTTTCAATTCTTTCATAATTGTGTTAAAAAAACCTTCTTTTTCTTTTTCCATTTCTTCTTTTTTGCATTCCTCCAATACCATCATATGTATTTCTATTAACACTTTTTGTATCAACTTTTTCTTTTTTCTAGATTTTTCCATTTCATTACTTATATCTTGTTCTAATTCCTCTATATTTTGATTAATTTTCTTTATTTTTCTCACATCTCCTTTAGTTAATTCTTTCATATATTCTTTTTCTTTTTTATATTCATCTAACAAATCATCAAACCATTTCTCTGAACTATGTTCTAAAAACCACATTCTTTGTTTCTTTAGCCATTGTTTCCATATTTTTTCTTGTTTCTCTAGCATAGAATTTTTTCCTACTTCTATTTTTATGATTTCTGATTCTTTTTCTACTTCCTCATATTTTTCTTGTTCTTTCTCCCATTCTTTTTTCAAATTAATAAACCATTCTTCTTTTTTCCATTTCTCTAACATACTTTTGTTTCTTTCTATCCATTTTTTCCATAGATGATTTTGTTTCTGTACCATTATTGCACTAATGTCTTCTTCCCCTTTCATCATTATATCTAAATCATTTTCTATTATTTTTGAATGTTTTTCTTTATCTTCTTTTTTAAATTCTTCTAAACATGCTTCTAAAAATTTTCCTCTATTAAATAACCACTCATCTTTTTTACATTCTTCTAATATAATCATGTGTATTTCTATTATAGTCTTCCACTTTAATTTTTTTTTCCTTATTATAGAATTAACCTTTTCATCTTCATCTTCTAATTGTGTCTTTTCAAATTTTTTTATTTCTTCTTTTACTTTTCCATTAATCTCTATTATTGATTCACCTCCTTCCCTAGGTTTTTCACTTTCCCTTTTTTTTTCTATATTATTTATACTAATTTCATTTATATATTCTTTCTCTTTATTTTCAATTTCATCAACCAATTTTGTAAACCATTCTTCTTTGTTATCATTTTCTATCCATTTTTTACGCATATCTTCCCAATGTTTTTTCCATATAATATATTGCCTTTCTAAAGCAATATTTGTTTTTCTTTCTTCATTTTTTTCTTCCAACATTTTTTTATTTAATTCTTCTATATATTTTTGTTCATTATCTTTCCATTCTAACATTAACTCCACAAACCATTTTTCTCTTTTCCATTTTTCTATATCCTGTTTTTTTTTTTCTAATATAGAATTCCAGCTTCTTTCTTCCCATATTTTTTCTAATATATTTACTTCCTCTAAATTTCTTTGTGTTCCTAACTCTTGAATGTTTGTTTTAAAACATTCATCTTTTTCTCTTTCTAATTCTTCCTTTGTACATTCCTCTAATACCATCATATGTATATCTATTAACATTTCTTTTGTCAAATTTTTTTTCATTTCATATTTATATGTTTCATTGTCTATTACTTTCTCTTTTTTTTTTACACTTATTTTTTCAATTTTTTCTTCTATTATATTTTTTGAAATTCCTTCTTTTTCATATTCTTCTAATAACTTTTTAAACCATTCCTGCTTTTTATATTCGTTTGAACGTTCTCTTTGCTTTTCTATCCACTTTCTCCATGCCTTTTTTTTTTTGTCTAACATTAGATTACTTATTCCTTCTACTTCTACTTTCTCAATCTCTTGTTCTTCTAAATATTCTAAGTGTTTTTCTTCTTCTTTCTTCCATTCTTTTTTCAAATTAATGAACCATTCTTCTTTTTTCCATTTATCTAGAATACTGCTATATTTTTTTCTCACAACTATGCTATTTTCTTCTTCCCTTTTCTTTAATAAATTATTTCTCACTTCTTTTGGGTAAGTATTTTTTTCGTCTTTTTCAAATTCTTCTATGCAAATTTTTAAAAATTCATTTTTAATCAATTCCCATTCTTTTTTTTTATACTCTAGTAATGCTATAATATGTATATTTACCCATGTATTCCAATTGTATACTTGACTCTTGATTGGCATTTTATTTTCTGAATTTTTCATTTCATTTTCATATGTAGATTTTTCAGATTTTACATTTATTTCATTTTTTTCTTCTTCATTTAATGTATTTTCCCTGACGTATCCTACAACATGAACCGCATTTTTTTTTAACCCGCTTTTAATGAATTTTTCTTTTCTAATTTTACTTCTAGATTTATTTTTATTTAATTCATCTTCTTCAATTTCATTTTTTGAATCATCTTCCTTTAATTTTTCCTCTTTTATTGGAAGTTCATTTTTGTACTTTGATACTTCTTCTACAGCTTCATATACGCGTTTATCTCCACATTCCTTTGATGTTTTCATCTGTCTATATTTCAAATTTCTTTCACTTTCAAAACTAATCTCACATAATGGCATTTGTTTTTCATGGTTCGATAACGAATATTTTCCACTATATATTGGTTCACTCTCCATATCATTTAAAGACATTAATAAGGGTTCCTTTGAAATTTCCTTCATATTTTTTCTTATTTTTTTTTTCTTTGATTTACGCTTGCGAAACCAAGATCCAATAAAAGTGTACTATAATTCAATTAAAAATTATGCAATTATAAAAAATTTCTTATTTAAGTTATAAAGATTTTAAATATATATGTTTTTGCATTTTTAATTATTAATTTTATCTTACTTTACAGAGAAGAATTAAAAGGAATATAATTCCCAAAATGAATATACCTATTGGAACGATTATTAATACATTTCCTGTAGGAGTAATCTCAGGTGTATCATTAATGGGATTATCTGATTTGGTTGGTTTAATGTCATTTTTTGGAACTATCAAATTCGAAAGATTGGCATTTGCATTATTTCCTAATGTGCTATTTTGAGTGATATTTAAAGGTAAAATTTGCTTAGCTAGTATGAAAGAACTTGATGTATTTTGCGGATTCTGTGTTATAGGATTATTTATTCCCAATGATGGTATGCCACTATTTGTTGTAGGAGATTTAGTTATTGGCTTAAGAGACGTATTGATAAATGAAGATAATAAAGGTTCAGATGAGAGAGTAGTAGATATATTTTTAGGTGCAGCTAAAGATCTAGTATTATTTCTAGGAAATTTAATATTATTTGTAGAATTTGTAGTATTAGATATTAAAGGAGATATAGAATCATTTGCAGAAGGTGCAGCTCTAATTATATGAGAATATGGAGTTGGAGATCCTATGTTACTTGAAAAAGATGAATTTGTAGTTGTAGAAGATTTGACTTTAGGTGAAGACACAATCTCAGAAGATGATGGAGATCCAATTGTAGGAGATGTAATATTAGTTAAAGATGCTATAGTACTATTTTTAAAAGGTTCAATTATGGTAGGAGAATGTGTTGTGGTATCATTTGAAGATGTAGAATTATTTGCAGAAGGTTCATTTCTATTTATAGAAGGTTGAGTTAAAGAATGTGTAGCAATATTTGAAGAAGCAGAATCGATAATTGCAGTAGATGTAGTTGAAAGGGAAGATCCATTCTTAGGAGAAGGTGAAGGTACAGTTATAGGAGATATAGTGTTAATTGTAGAAGGTGTAGTATTATTAGAAGAATGTACAATTTCAAAAGAAGATGATGATGTAGGAAATTCACTATTATTTTTTGGAGTACTGATACTAATTGGAGAGTGAATAGTTTCATCTGTTAAAGGAGATATAGTATCATCTGTAGATAATGAAGCTATAGTTGTAGAACTGGTATTTGTATTCGATGAAGATTTATTTACAGAAAAGGATATAGTACTATTTTCATTAGGTTTAATGGTATTTTTAGTAGGTGCAGGTTGATGCTCAGTTGTGAAAAAAGTTGTACCACTTGTAAGAGGTTCAATGCTAGTTGTATGTGTAGTGTTATCTATTGAATGCGTTGTAGCAATATCATATGAAATATTGAGAGTTCCATTTGTGGAATTTGAGTTATGTTGTATTGAAATTGCAACATTTAAAGTTTTATTGGATCCAATATGATTGTTATCTAAATTAATCCATGATAAATCATACGGATTAGTTGAATTCTCTCTCTCAATAATTTTATGAAGTAATGCTGTCATATTACATCGACTTTTTGTCTGTTCTAATGTATATTGTTGCAAATTTTGACTAAAAGAATTCCATACATTAACATAATTTTGCACATAAGGTTCATCGGAATTAATTTCATTTGTCATCATATTTACAAATTGTTTTCCTCTCTTATATATATACATACTCCATTTTCCACAATTAAGATCAGAATTATGTTTTTCATACATTTTGAAATAGTACATAGATATTTCATGAGTGAGTTCATCAAACTGAGAACGCCTTTTATTAATAATATCAGTTTTATTATCATAATATATATTATCGTTGAGTTGTTCATATGTTAATGATGTGCTTTTTAGTAGATTGTTATTTTCATAAGGACTAGAACAGTTATTATTTTTATTCAAAAGAGCACAATAATCAAACGTTCTAAAATTACACGTTGAATTTATTTCTTTATGTATATGTGTTTTAAAAAATTCTTGTTTATCATTCCAGCAATCAACAAGATTTGAGATATTATAATTTTTTTCTTTATTTAATATTAAATTAACGTAGTCCATTCCTTTCCAATTTATATACGTAGATGACTTTTCACATTTTTCTGTAGAATTATTAATTTCTTGGTCATCGAGATAAAAATTAACTTCATTATAAGTATCGTTCATAAATATTTGAATTTCATTATTAAGTTTAACTATCTCGTTAGATGAATTACCTTGATTTTCTTTTACCTTACCATTTTTTTGATCTAATATACAGGAAGTTTTATCTGTTTGTGATAAAAATCTTATCTTCCTTAAGGCTGACAATTTTCTCAAGAAAATGATATCGCCACAAGGTTTCGTTAAAATATTTTGTAATACTATCTAAAAAATTATTTATTAAAAAGAACAAGTTTTTATATAAATTATAAATAAATATAAAAATTTCAAGATAAGGGGTAATACGAATATATGTATATATTTTAGTTTTATCATACATTAAAAAAACATTCATTAATCCAATTAAAGAAGAAAAATAATTTAAATTGAGTAAAAAATTGAATATAGCTATTTTTGTTATTTTGTGACATCGTTATACACTTGAATTATGTTAGGATATTGTTATAATTTCTGTAGAGAAGTGACAATGTTTGTACTTTGATAACTATATCGTAAATTTGTTTATATTTAATATTAACATTTTACGTAATATAAATAATTAATTCGCCGTAAAAGGAATTTTTTGCTTGATTTTTGTTTGGAATATCTCATTATTATTTTCATGTAATAATAGTAACATTAGTTTTAAAAAACATGAAAAAGCATAATAAATAAAATAAAAATTTAATTTATAAAATTAAAATTAAGAAAAAAAAAAAAAAATAATAGATAAAGTAAAATATTATTTTATATTTGAAATTATAATTAAAAAAAAAAATTAGTATGAAAAAAAGAAAATATTTAAGGGTTTTTTCTGTGTTCTCTTAAATTTTTTATATAATTACATGATTTTAAATATAAGTTTGAAATAATAATATGATTATTTATTTTTTGAGTTTTGAATAAAGGATTTAACAATTTCATAATGTTTTTGCAGAATATTTTTTGTAAAGATGAAATTTAAAAAATTCAAGGTTAAAACATAGTTTATATTCAAACAATATAATGATCTTAATATTTTATAATTTTTATTATAAAGGATCTAATATTTTTAAAAAATATAAAATATGTAAAAAAAAAAAAATATATATATATACATATATATGCAAATTATAAAAGTGGTAATTATAATATACTATTTTAGCTTTTTATATATATATATATAACATAAATTATTTTAAGTTAACAGAAGTATTTACATTTATAAAAAGCTATATTATTTGTTGTTGAATTATTACATTTAAGCGAAGATTAAAGTTATTACTATTTTTTTTATTTTAATATTTAAGTTTTTGTTGAAAAATTAGTGCGTTATAATTTAGTTTTGTTTATGAAGAAACATATGTATTAAGAAAAAAAAAAAAAAAAATTAGTTTAACGAATAATGCTCTTTTTTTTTTTTCGTTATAACTATATTAAACTTTTTATTTTTTTAATAATTTTTACTTGGTAATATATATATATATATATTTAACATTATTTGAGAAAATGTTTTTTTATTATTTTAGAATTTTTTATATGAATACAAAGAGATATAAATTATATTTTGGTTATTCTTTTTAAAATTATTTCTCATAATATTTTTAGAAAATGAAAATAACAATAATTTATAAATAAGAATTTCTTAGAAAGTAGATATTATTTATACTAAAAAAAAAAAAAAAATAAATAAAATAAAATAAAATTTATCATTTTATTAAATTTCTTTTTTTTATATTTACGTTTTTACAAGATATATTATAATAAATTATATACTAAAAAAATCCGTGAGAAAAGTAAATGCATTTTATATTTATTAGAATTTTGCATGGTTTTTATGAGGATTGAATATTTTTTTTATAAGAATATTATAAGTAAAATACATTTTTTTAAGAATATTTGTGATTATATTTATAAATTTTAATTATTAAAAATTTATTAATTATTTAGTATTTTTTGTAATTTATTTTTATTTTTATTTATTTATATTATTGACATTATGATTAAGAATTGAATAAGTATATTAAAAAAAAAAAGAGAGGATTAACAGATAAGTTTATCATATGAATATTATGATATGGTAGTATAAATTTAATAAAAATTTTATTGTTGAATTTTAGAAAATTTATTTTGAATATGCAAGTTATGACGAAAGGGGTGAAAGCTATGTTCATTAGTTATAAATTTATTAAGTTTATATTTACTGGAAGTTTGTTTGATTAAATTTTTTGTAATTTTATTTGTTGAGTATAGATTAATTATATTCTTGTTATCGGTATATATTTAGTACTTATTTTGAAGATTTATTTTAAATGAAACAATTTTAATTTTATTTATTATACATTTATGCACTATTGATTTATTAACTGGATGTTCGGTGACTTTGCTAGAGTACTGAATAAACAAATTAATAAAGAGCATGTAGAGTTGGCTCTATAATTTTTGATGTATTTATATATATTTTTAAATGCTTTGAACGAGTGATCCTTAATTATGTGATCTACTTCATTCAGCATTCTTTAATTTCAATAGGCATTTATTTACTTTAATAAAAATCTTTATTTTTATTAAAAATTTATATCCTTATTGAATATTGATTATTAATTAAATATATATTACTTATTTTTTTGTTATGATTTATGTCAATCAGTTTAAATATATTGCTGTTGAATTAACAAAACATAAACAATTAGTAAAAATACAAATTAATTATATGAATAATAATTATGTGAAAATTTTATTATTATATGCATAAAATTTTTTTTTACAAATTAAAAATATAATTACTATGTAAATTAAATTCTTTTTTATGTAAATATCTTTTGTAAGTTTAATAGCTCATTCTTATTGGTAAAAAATCTTTTTCCAATTGATTATTTTACCAATTTTTTTTTTCCATTCTTTTTTTCTTAAAAAAAGAAATAAATATATTTTTTTTACGTCTTTAAATTTATAAAAAGAAGAACAACAAAAAAAAAAATTAGTAAATTTTTTTTTTTTTTTTTTTTATTTGCGTGTGCATGACTAAATGATTTATTAATTGGGTGTTCGATGACTTTGCTAGAGTAATGAACAAACAAATTAATAAAGAGCATGTAGAGTTGGCTCTATAATTTTTGATGTATTTATATATATTTTTAAATATTTTAACGATTGATCCTTAATTATGTAATATACTTTATTCAGCATTCTTTAATTTCAATAGGCATTTATTTACTTAAATAAAAATCTTTATTTTTATTAAAACTTTATATACTTATTGAATATTGATTTTTAATTCAATGTATATTACTTATTTTTTTGTTATGATTTATGTTCAGCAATTTAAATATATTGCTGTTGAATTAACAAAACATAAACAATTAGTAAAAATACAAATTAATTATATGAATATTAATTATGTGAAAATTTTATTATTATATGTATAAAATTTTTTTTTACAAATTAAAAATATAAATACTATGTAAATTAAATTCTTTTTTATGTAAATATCTTTTGTATGTTTATTATCTCATTCTTATTGGTAACAAATCTTTTTCCGATTGATTTTTTTAACTAATTTTTCTCCAATTTTTTTAACATCTTTTAATTTATAAAAAGAAAAACAAAAAAAAAATTGATAATATTTTTTTTTTTTTCTTTTCTATTTGCGTGTACATGATCAACTACGTATTCTTCACATAGCTAGATCTTTTTATTTCCGAAAAGGCTAATAAAGCCTTTTATTTACCAGCTGTATATTCCACAAACATTGATTGGTTGTATTGATGTGTCTGGCTCTATACCTAGTTCTTTGGCTGAAACCGTTGATACAGAACATAGATATGCTCTTGTATCTAGTAATACATTAACGTTATGTCCGTTAATTTCTACTATTTGTTCCGCATTTGTACATCGTCCTTTTTCGATTCCAATTTCTATTGTCCTATTAACATATAATTCACTTTCTGCTGAATCTGTTACCCTTTTATCGGATTTCTTTTCGATGTCATTTTCTTTCTCCTTAAATACCTTATTTATTCTATTCCTCTTTCTATCCTTCTCTTCATCACTTCGTTTAGGTTTATTTTCTTTATACCTATCCTTTGCTTTTTCTTTTTTGTCTTTCCATGTGTTCCAATTGTTTATTAAGTTATTCGTTAATAAAAGGCTTTATTAACCTTTTTGGAAAATAAAAGGACTAGTTAAATGAAGAATACATAGTTGGTTATGCACACACAAAAAAAAAAAAATGATCAATTTTTTTTGTTTGTATTTTTATAAAAAAAAGTACAAAGACCGTGAGAAAAAAAAAAATTGATAAAAAAAAAATCAATTGGAAAAAGATTTGTTACCAACAAATAAAAATAACAAAAAAAAAAAAAAAAAAAAATATTTTTTTTTTTTGAAACGAAGAATGATTTTAATGAATTTTGTAAAAGAAAATTTTATACATATAGCAATAAAATTTTCACGTAATTAATATTTATATAATTTTTTTGTATTGTCACTAATTGTTTATGTTTGTTAGTTAAACAGCAATATATTAAATTGCTGGACATAAATCATAACAAAGAAATAAGTAATATACATTTAATTAATAATCAATATTCAATAAGGATATAAATTTTTAATAAAAATAGGGATTTTTACTAAAGTAAATAAATGCCTATTGAAATTAAAGAATGCTGAATGAAGTAGATCACATAATTAAGGATCAGTCGTTCAAAATATTTAAAAATATATATAAATACATCAAAACCGTAGAAACAGCTCTACATGATCTTTATTAATTTGTTTGTTCAATACTCTAATAAAGTTACCGAACACCAAGTTAATAAAACAATTTTCTACAGTTTGCAAATATTTTCTTATCTCCGTAAAAGGTTTATCCATTTCCATTTTTATACCTAGTTCTTTTAAGAATTTCTCTGGTATATATCTTTTAAAGAATCTTAAAGCGTCCTTTCTTCCTATGCTATTCTATTCCTTGTAACATAAACAACTAAGAGCGTACGAATTACAGTCTCTAATAAATGAGCTAATTGCTTCTTTTATTGATGATTTTCTTGTTGTATTAAATAACTTCCTTGTTAACATGAATTTCTCGTCTGGGTCTTCAAATATTACGTTAGCTAATTTAATTTGAAGTTGTAACATATCGGTGATTTCTTTGTCTATTGATAATTTAGATATTTCCTGGGAGTAGATGTTTGATGTCAAAGATTCTAATATCACACATGTTTCTACCCTGGATATTCCTTGCATTTTTGCCTTCATTTCGAATATCTTAAACCAACTAAAATATAGTTCCAAAAATCTATTACTAAATTTTGGGAGTCCAGATGATACCTCAGCTCTTATCTTAACTCCATTGTTTCTAATTTCAAATATATA